TTATCTCAGGAGAACCCCCCCCCCCCCTGCCTGACAGGAATAGTCTCCAGCTGTGAGGAGCATGTGTGAACAACCAGGTCAGGGGAATATCCGTAGCAGTCCTCCTGAAATGTTCTTGATATTTTCAGGAGTGTAGATGTGAAAACGGATTAAGAAAGACAGGAAAACATGAGGCTTTAGTAGAAGACATGAAGGAGTGTGGTGGAGTTGCTCTGCTGCGGTGACTTCATAGGTTAAATGTCATTCTCTAAAATTTCAACAAACTAAAAAACTGATCCTTGTTTATCCACTTGTATCAGAGCAGATTCTGCTGCAAAGTGGCTGAAAAATGATCATGAATGCAAACCAACAAGGGTTTTATTGTTGTTGTGCTGTGCAGCAGAGTCTCTTAAACCTCGGCCAGATATTTGAGCACATCTTGTCTTTTGTGAGCTTTAATTAGTTGGCAGCTTTCGTTGCACTAGATTCATAATAAGGTCATTTCTCAAGCAAAAGAAATGCAAATCCTTTTCTTTTGCATTACAGGAAATTGTATGCTTGTGTTTCATATTTTGGGTTTGATTAAATGAGACATTTGGATGTGGCTTTGGACGTTGTCATTTTGGGCATTTTCATAGTTTTTGCCATGTCACTGCGAATACTATTATTTGAATAAAATGAATCCATAATGGAGCGTCTAGTTAATTGCAGCCAAATCCATTCTTTTGTTTTCGAGGCTGTAATGAACAGCAGACTACAGTCTTGCTTGTCTGTATTTCTCAACCCATGTCAGATTCTTCTCATCAGCCGCTGCTGAGAGAAGGTTAATCTCTCTCCGTGCCCTCTGGGAGGATTTCTCTGATTCCTGCTGCAGAGGAAACTCTTCCAGTGTGCATGGAAATAAACCTTTTAGATCTGTTTTTGCATCCCAAGGCTGAGGACGCAGATAAGACGCATGATCTGTTGGGTATGCATAGATAAAAAAGCTATCAATTGCTCAGACTGTATGTCTCACCTATTCATGTTCCTGAATATTCTCTTTTGATAAGGAATCGGAAAATTATCTTTTTGAATAGATTTTGTTTCGCAGTCTTGCTATGGTCAACTTTTATTTTACAAGGCACGAACATCAAACAGCAGATTAACTGGTCTAACTGTGATTTGATCAACCGCAAAGACATCGAAAGAACATTTTAAAATTTTCATTAACCCTCACAGATCCCCCGACATAGTGAGGAACCTTTATAGTTTTACACAATGGGCCCTATTCTTTCAAACAATTAGTTTCTAATAAGCTCCACGAGCAGAAACGTGCTCAAACTAGGATCAATATTGGAGATGCTTTTGAGAAATGGAGAGAAGTTAGAACGCAGAAAGGTTTACAGACCGATGCAGAACTGGCTAAACACTGAAGCTTCAGTGTTCACCACATGGCAACCAGCATGAGCATCAACTCTAGAGAGGAGGGGGCGGGGGGGAGACAGCTGTCTGCAATGTTTGAATTTGGACTGCTGAACCCATTTTAAACACTAGGTGTCAGAGTTACACATTACTCCTTTAACGGTGTAACCAAACTTGTTGTGTGGTGCAACTTAGTCTAAAGTCAACATGGCAACCTGCGTGCACATCAGCTCTGCAGACTGCAGTCCCCATTTCATACACTAGGTGTCAGAGTTACATATTACTCGTTTAAAGAGCTGCAGGTTGATGCAGCAACAAAGTGTCTCCTTTTAGGATTTAAACTTTGTCTTTTCCCTTGGAGGAGGTGTAATGCAGGTGTGAGATGTGAATTTAAAACAGCACTGTCTGAGTCTCAGGTCGGTCTGTCTGTCGTCCACAGAGAGCCTGTGACTCGCTGCCGAGGTGTGATTTTAAATGGTTTTAATAAATGGTGTTTTTTTTGAGCGCCGCTCTCCCTCGGCACACTCCCCTCCCGCTCTGCTCTCGCAAGCTGCTCCTGACCTGATAAAAACTCCTGAAATCACCTGCTGAGCTGTACTGCTTTATTTTTTTTTATTTATTCAATGGGAGAAACTGCTGGAGCGTGCACCTGGGGCAGCTGGAGGTTTGTGTTGTGTATAAATGAACCTTCAAATAGCAGCCAGTGTTACGTTGTGTGTTGAGTTCACTTCTGTCCATAATTAATGAGTGAAGAAATAATGTACTGTGATTTTTATTTTTTAAATGACTGAATTAAGCGACAACCTCCAGTGTTGAAAATTGAAGCCAATGCGGAAGTGCAAAATCCTGCAGTTCGTCAAGTGTCCACTAGAGGCTGGCTCCAGGAACACCGGAGTCACATACACACAACAGACAGAAAGCTGTTTTTACAGCCCAAATTAACATGTTTACAGCCTGGTATAAAAAACGAAATAAGTCTGATTAGTTATTGTCATCATGGGCCCACACGTTAGGGGGTTCGATTTTTTTCAAATCTGCTCAGTTTCGATTTTATGAACGATATGTGTTATTCACAGTTAGGAGTGTATCTGACATGATTGGCAGGTGGGCGTGATGTAACAGTTTGTTAAGAGGCTTAAAACCCGCCTCAGCTCCAGCTCTCAGCCTGTCGTTAGGTCGACTGAAAGTTAGACTGAGACAGCATTTCCAACATGACGGCTGCTGCTAATGAGCCTCCAGAGCCCCCTGCAGGAACAGATGGGTGACGTCACTCAGGCTTCATCCATTAATATTTACAGTCTATGGAGAGACCCCACACATGACCACAAATAACCATAGATGAAACTGTCTTGTTTCTATAGTGTATGATGTCCTGTTTCTGATACATCATTGCTCTCCACACATTTACGTATTCACTCACCAACAACAAGAGTTCCGACTCTCTTAATTGAACTAACTGAATTTTACAAATGCAACTTTAGCGTAAACAAACATGGCGGACGACAGGCAGAAAAAATAGTGATAGATAGAAGGTTTGGTTTTCTATTATCTGAAAACTCACAAAGAAAAAAGTTAATCTACATGGATAAAGATGTGGAGATGGCGTGCGGCCTGTACAAGTTAGAGCGCGAGCTGGAGGTGAGTAAAAATTAACTTGCTGCGGTTGTTGTGCTTCCGTCTTCAGTCAGCTCGCTTCCAAATCCAAATAAAACTCATCAAACAGTTGGATAAAATGACTGAACAAAATGACAATCTCCGTCATCAGTTCTGATTTTTGTCCATACGTTTTGGAAAAGCTAAAAGTCTTCAATAGATGTGACCAGACTTAACTGAGCTGCTCAGGACTCGGTTTGTCTTGCTGAGGAGAACAGGTCAGTAATAACGTGTCCCACCTCCCCTACAGTCATGTCTAGTTTGTACTGAGCCTGTGTCCCTCTCTATTCCCCACGCACTGATATGTCGGAGTGAACTTGAGAGACCCTCTGAGTTAATGAGGGTCCCAGAGCAGCTGAGCGGTGTGTCTTCGTGACGCTCAGAGGAGCAGGAAAACCAGTGTCTGCTCCTGTCGTTTAGGGGTCAGTGTTGACTGCCTGGTATCTGATATGTGGCCGCTCTGTGGGATGAGTCTGACTTTCAGCTCAGTCTGTACCATTCATCACCGGAGCTGCTACAGGAGGTTACAGGCTGGATGGATGTGGATGAAGCTGTTGTGTTTATTTCATTATTGCATGTGCTAAGATGTGAGACATTTTGAAATACCAGCAGAATGATAAAACCGGGGAATAAAGGAGAGTCACGTTGGTCCTGAACAATTTTCTAATGTGCACCCAGAAACAAAAATGCAGTTTTTGCATGTTTTTCTGAGGGACATTAGGCACAGGAACCTTTTCATAGTTCTAGGAACTGTTGGAACCCTCTCCCTTTTTTTTAATTGATTTTTGCACCACAGGAAACATGAACTATTTTTAGTTCCTAGAACACGGTTTAGAGGAACCTTTTTAGAGTACTCTTCGGAGTAGGTACCATGGTGGTGCGAATGCAGACAGAAGAAAAAGTCCCCATGGTGTGTCGTTCTCAGGGAACTCTAGTGGATACTTCCTCCTCAGAAAGTCCCCAGAACTGTTTGGTCCCAAAACACCTTTCTATCCTATTGATTGTGTCATCAAAAGGAGACCCATAGCACACTGAAAAACAACAGAAAATACAGAGCAGAAGGACTGACTAAAAAGCCTTCATTGCAGTGTCTCAGTCATGACTAAGTTTGGACCCTGCAGGTCCAAACTTAGGGCTTCCTCTGTGAAATCTTCCTCAGCTGCAGCTGATGAACGTGCAGGTCGAGGAGAGAGAGTGGAGGAGAGAGTGACTTGAAGCAGCTGCAGGTCAGCTGAAGAAACCAGGTAGTCTGTTCTACCTCCCACTCAGAGAGCCGCTCTGACCTCATGAATGAATCACTCATCATGCTCTAATCAGGCCCCTGGCTCTGCCCCTCTGGTCCAAATCAGAGAGATTTACTTGATTTTTATTTTTTTTCCTGTATGGGTTTTCTACTTGACTGAGCGGCTGAGTGCACGGCCGAGTGAGCAGCTCGTCTGCCTCGCAGGCTGTTCCCACTCCGCCGTCCTCACTCCACGAGGTTCCACTGAGGGACTCTCAGTCAAATCTGCAGGAACTCAAACTAACAAGCTCTGACAGGAAGCAACGTGCTACCTGCTGGGAACACGGCCAACACTTTTCCTGGTTACTCTCTGAAACGCCTCGCAGACATTAACCCTCCTGCCGTACTGTCGACATGGATCTGGTTCTTCCTGTCACAGGTTTCATCCTGGTAATGAGTCGAGTGCGGTGGAGGACAACAACACTGGACGTTCTGAACACCACAGATCCCAGTTGGATCAATGTCTGTCAGCAGCTGTGCGTCCTGTCTACTCTGACAGATGACAGATTAAAGCTTGAAAACAGATGAAAGAGGTTTCCTTGACTCTCAGTTGTTGACGCAGAAAATAACAACACTTTCCCTTCTATGTCTCTCAGGTCAACTTGACGCCATGCCAGTCCAAGTGCTGTCAGGGGGGCGGGGCCAGACGCCAAGGTACCGCCACACTGGCCAGCATTCCCATCTCCTCATCAGCATCAGCACCGACTGCTCCAACAGAACAGTCAAGGTTTGTTTACACAGTGATTGGTTCTCATTGCAGTGAGTATCGGGGACTCATCAGGAGCCATGTGAGTCTCCCCGATTACATGTGTGCGACAATTAGGGCAGCACAATTAACAACAGTTTCATCATTAGCGTGATGTTAGCATTCAGAATAAACACGACGCAGAAGTCTGAATTTATTGCAATAAATATGAACGATTATTTTCTATAATCAAGCGATACCTTCTGCCTCAGCGTGCTAATATTTAACCTGCTGGAAGGTGGTCCGGGCCGTGCATTTACACCGTTTTTCATGCAGGCAGATGAAACTCTTAATTAGCCATCAGCTCGGATTAATTAGAGCCAAATGTTTACAGTCACACACCTTAAAGCTGTAAACAAGACGTGAGGCGCTCAATATTAAATAAAGAGTCATTAAAGTGACGTCGTCGAAGAGAGAGAGAGAGAGATTTGATCTTCATGATCAAATGTCGGAAAACATTTCACTTCTTCCCTTTTAACTTTTCTTCTTTGGCAGATTTGGCAGCTTCTTTTCTTTCTTTTTTTGGAGGTATTTTTGGGCTATTTCTGCCTTTATTGTACTGACAGGACAGTGGACGAAGTCGGAAATCAGGGAGAGAGAGAGTCGGGAATGACATGCAAGAAAGGAGCCACAGGTCGGATTTGAACCTTGGCTGTCTGCCTGGAGGATTGTAGCCTCTGTACATGGGGCATGCACATTAACCACTAAGCTACCAGCGCCCCAGGCAGCTCCTTTTCTGGTGTACTGGACTAAACACCACCTTGACCCGGGGTCGGACCTGGAAGGGTGGATGTAGCTTGAATCCTGATTGGTTTGAGGCGTCTTTCAGAGGAATCAGAGCCACAGAAATACAGGCCTTAATGTTACGCTTTAAGCTACTGAACATGAGGTTTTATAGATGTTTGTGCAAGAATGAATAATAAAGGAAGAACATTAGGATCTTTTAAAATTACCTGGAAAGAACTCCACTTTGCATACAATCAAAGAAAATGAAATAGCCGGGTGGTGCTTCACAGGTAACACATCTTCCCTGCACTGATATCTCTGCTTTTTCACCTGCCACCATCTGTTCCCTTCCAGCTTCTTTTGTATTTCAACGTGACGCTGTATTCTTCTTTTTGATTAGTACGCCGCAGAAATAAATGTCTGAAAACCGAAAAGGCAGAATAATCCACCTTCTGTTTCGTAGCTCATTTCCCAGAGGCGCTCATCAACGCCGCGCACTTTCCTGATGTGTCTTTGATCAGTTGACAGGCCCTCAGTGAGACCGTTCACAGCTTCAATTTGAGCTCAGTGTTTTCCAGTTTGTCTCCAAGTTCAGTCTTTTTTTAAAATTCATTATTTATTTCCAGGGAAAAGTGGTTCATAAAGGCCCGCTGGTGTCGTTAACAGCCGACAACTTCATCTTGAAGACCGTCATCCAAGGTAACGCTCAACATGTGTGTTTAAGAGCTGTCTGTTTCTCTGCTGGGTCGGTCCGTGCAGCTTCCTGCCGGGCTCTGTGTGTAATAAATTAGTTCTTCAGATCAACCTGCTGAGTTCAGTGATGTCGTACCCTGAAACAAAATGTGGCCACAAGGAATCCATTCATCCAGCTGCCACTCACAGGCTCACATTTGCTCCAAAAATAAGTTGTAAAGTTCAATGAGGTTTGTGCAGTAAAACCCCAAACTGTGACAATACAGAGGCTAAAAGGTCAGTAGTACTGCAGAAGTGTGTGTGTGTGTGTGTGTGTGTGTGTGTGTGTGTGTGTGTGTGTGTGTGTGTGTGTGTGTGTGTGTGTGTGTGTGTGTGTGTGTGTGTGTGTGTGTGTGTGTGTGTGTGTGTGTGTGTGTGTGTGTGTGTGTGTGTGTGTGTGTGTGTGTGGACTGTTCTGTATGTGTGAGGTAAGCTCTTTAGCTCGTCTGGATTTCAGCGGCAGACAGAGGCCTGTGTGTCTCATTGTTGCCTCGTCTGTGGCCTTCTTATCTTTGAGCAGCCTGATTAAAAAGCCACAGAGAGCAGAGGCTCTTATTGTGGCGAGGACATCCTTCTTTTTAAACGTTTCAACTCTCAGACATCCAGCTCGCCTGTGTGTCCAGTAGCAGGATGAGCGGGGTCACCTCTCTCTGTGTTTGTTTAAACACATGGCTGTCAGTTAGGATGCTGTGTTGAACCTGCAGGTGTATTAGAGGTCATGAAGGGAAAACCTCCAAACGGCCTGTTTGAGCACACATTATCTGAAAAGTGGAGCAGGCAGAAGAAGGAGAGGATGGACTTTTTTCATAATTGGGGGGGTTTGTAGACAGACTAGGGACACATATTAGGGGGCAATTATGCTTAAGTACGGTATGGGACAACTTTGCCCAGTGTGAATGCGCCCTTAGCGTTAGAAAAACATGGTGAAGTGTATTTTGCATGATATGTGACCTTTAACATATAAGTTGTGGCAGTAAGAAGCGAATTGTTTTTGTCCAAAAGTGTTTTCCCCAAACCCAAAGATCAAGATGCTGGATGGAGAGAATTGTCACTTATTTGACTAACTAAAGAACTAACTGATTATCAAATGAGAAGTGAGAAATGAGAACTATTTTAATTACAGTTCCAATATAACCAGTTAATCCCGAGTTCACCATCTTTCTGACCCAACATGTTTTTATCAGTATGATGAATCTCAACACATACTCGTCTTGATCAAAAGTGTCCTGCATCCTTTTGTCTTTCCAGTGTAAAAAAAAAATCTAATTTTCTGCACTTTTTTTTGTACAGAAGAAGAGTCCCAGCCAATCACCTCGTCTCAGCTGTCGTCCATCAACGTCGTCCTGATGGGAGCGCTGGCCAAGGAGTTCAGCCAAGCTGTCAATCAAGGGGTACGATCTCTCTGTTATTGAAGATACAACATAAAGAAACTTTGATAAAAGTGTAGTGCTTGTTGTGGTACATTATCTCTCAGTGTGTGTGTTGAATATGTGTATGTGATTCTTTCATGTCATTCATTGCTTTAGCCATTGGACTGTCTCGAGCAAACTTTCGGCAATTTTCAAACGTCGGCTCTAAGGCACCTTAGACTTGGTGCTAATGCTAGCGGCTACTGCTAGCGGCTACTGCTGCTTCGTATAACTTTAATACATCTTTGTTGCCATGACGACTCTTCAGCTGACTCATATTCAGTGTGTTATAACTTCATGACTTTTTCCTCCCCTCTGAAACCCTGCGGGACACCTTTTGCAAATTTCAATCGTGTTATTCTGCTCTGAAACACAACTTTAAGGGCGGCAGTAGCTCAGTCTGTAGGGACTTGGGTTGGGAACCGGAGGGTCACCGGTTCAAGTCCCGGTGCGGACCAAGTATGGAAGTTGGTCTGGTAGCTGGAGAGGTGCCAGATCACCTCCTGAGCACTGCCGAGGTGCCCCTGAGCAAGGCACCAAACCCCCAGCTCAGGAACTCTGACATGTCTCCCCTAGTGCATGTCCATAGTTATCCTGTTTGTGTGCATGTGTGTGTTGCATGACTACAGAGTGTGTAAACTGAAATTTCCCCTTGCGGGGATCAATAAAAGTAAATCTTATCTTGTCACAGCAAGGGCCGCATTCATTTAATTCTCACTGCCAGAGGGCAAAATTGTAGGATACTTCTAGGTTGATTTACAGTTCAACCAAAGGAAGGAATACATAGCTTTTATCAGCATCTATGATACCAACGTTCATATTTGAAACACTAGTGCTTAGATTTTTAACTCCTGTTACTTTTTTTTTAACAACTTTATTTATCAATTTTACATATTGATCACAGTCAGATGAACATTCACAGCAAAAAAATGTTAACCCTAATCCCACCCCCCACCCCCTCCAGGTGGCGTCCCCACATAAATACACAAACCTTCAGACTGTTACTTCAAATTTTGTCATGTTTTCTTCATGATTCCAATTAATTGATACGTAAAAATTGACCTGAGGGGTTGAGGGAAGTTGAGGATGTGCCCACCCCTGACCCATATAATCGGTTGATTTTAGCGGTTAATATGTCATTATCGGAAAAATAAAAATTTATCAAATATTCCCATAAATAGGCCAGCTAATTATCTGAACCGATATAAATTGTGTGGCCCTATTACACTATACACAAAAATACACACTTTCTGTATAAGACATTGCATTAGGCCGTGACATAAAATATAAACAGTTTACATGTTTGTGTGTGAGTTGTGAGTTTTCTTTTGTTGAGAGTTTTTTCCACATCTGTTATTGCACCTTTTGTTTGGTCATCATTTCCTCCTGAAGTCCAGAATGAATTCCTTCTCTGTTGTGTACTAGGCAAAACAATTTGTTTTTTTCCTGCCATGTACACTGTCTGCTTTGTGTGTATTCTGGGGGCTTTCATCACCTCTTTTGTGCTGATTAAAACACAAATCTCTGAATCTTTATTTAGCATGAGGAGACTTGCTGTAGTGACGGCAGTGTGGACGGAGAAGATGATGATTCAGACTGATGCCGTCTGGACGATGATGCTCATTCACAGTTAGATTTATTTTCAGGTTTCTATTCATGTCCTCGCTGTTTGTTTGTGCTTGTGTGTGCTGTTATGGTTGAACTTACAGCTCTCAAGCTCTGACATTTACACCTGCAGAGATATCTAGATCTTTTTATGGAAAACACATTTTAAGATACTGTGTACGTGTATGGTTAGTTAAGATCCAACACGATATTTGCGTGACACACAAACATAAAAAATGTTAACAGGGTTGGAACTTTGGTGGGCTTTACTATACCTGAACGACCTGCCCAGGTAAAGTCTGGGGCCATTCTCAAACTCGTCACTCAAACACTCACTCTCTGGCATCGAGCGAGCTCAGCTGAGTGAAGCACACGTTGTTAAGGTGGAGGGTTTGAATTTACCTTGGGATAATTAAAGTATTCAACCATCAATCCAAGATCCCTCTTCCATCCAATATCCATCAGTATCAATCCAAACATCCATCAAATATCAATCCCATATCCACCCACATATCCAATATAAATCAATCCATCCATTCTCCAGCCAATATCCATCCAACCATCCAATATCCATCCATAAAATTATCCGTCCAGTCATCCATCCATCCCATATACATCCCACATCCCTCCATCCCATACAGCAGCAAGCTTTGGGAAGAACTCCCCTCACTCCCATGAAAACAGGAACTTTGTGTAACCATGGTTTTATGTCATTTAAATAATAAGCTGTCTACTTACAGTAAATACCGTGACGCAGACTCACTAATATCACTCAACACTATGAGAAAAAACTCTCTTATATTTGGTGGCATTAAACATCAACCTGATGTTTATAAGACGATTAGTTTTTGCAAATCCCTGTAAAAATAAATCACCTCACAGTAAAACAAACACACACACCATTTTTGAGACTAGTAAATTGTTTATAAGATCCTGAATAAGATGAAAACTTTGATTTTCATTTCTGTATGATACTTCTATTTTTTATCTTGAGTCTGTATGGTTGACAACGTTTTGAATGGAGCGTCTACAATGACAGACATTGAAGGTGTCGCACCTGATCATCAAGCCAGCATCAGTGCAGACGTGTTGTAGGAGGGTTTAATTACCCACTTTCTCAAATTCAGAGGGTTTGGATGTGACTCAATGTGTCAGACCCTCCTCGCAAGCACGTAAACAGAGAGGAAGTGTTTAATCCAGGAGAGGTGTGAGAAACGTCAGATATAAAGGGAAACTGCCAGAATGTCCCATAAATCACTGCTAATCTTCACAAATTGGCTCTTCATATTGGAAGCATTGACCGCTCTGTAAGTGATGACTGCCTCCAGAATTCAGAGACCTGTAAATGTTATTAGAACAGCTTACCTGTTGTCACTGTGAACATGTTTGTCACCAATTCACACAGAGCTAAAGTCTAAATAATGTTAAGCTCGGTAAACTTTCCTCTTTCATGTGTCGGTGCTCTGGTGTGACAGCTCACCTCCTGCAGCTCCTTCAACTTCTGAAAGTGACTCTGAATCATCCTAACTGCAGCTCCGCGTGCCCGTTTACTTTCAGTCCACTCTGACGCTGTCACATCTGCACACAGAGGCAGCTGTGAGTTGTTCATGCTTTTGACTGGACCGGACAGTGAACGAATCAAAGGTAATCCAGCTGTCAGCAGAATCTCTCTTTGGTTTCCCTACAGCGGTGTCTTGGTGAAACTCAAAACGCAGGAAGTCATCCACATCCTGAGCCGCCATGCTCGGCTGTAGATCACAGAGTTGTTGTCAGGCCTGCGTGTCTCTGTAACGTGATTATTCAGACTATCTGCTGTCCCTTTGTCAGCCCTGAGTGGAGGCTTTTGAATCTGTCTCGGGGGCACTTCACATGCCAAACAAAAGACAATCTCCACTTTTCACACCGGCTTATCATCGGCGGCTTGTTGTGACGTCTTACTTAACATCTCCCAGGATGCAACATCTGCTGCTTCTATCTGTCCTCCCTCTGGGAAGGAAGATGTAAATTCACCCCTCTCTGCTCTCCCAGTTTTAATCCCTGATTTCTCTGCTTGTTGTTGATGATTTTCCTTTTTGTCCTGCAGGATGTGGTCGTGGCTTCTGGCTTCACTGTGGGCAAATCTCCAACTGTTAATAAGGACAAGCTGCACCCGTGTAACCTGCTGCTGTCAGGAGACGACGCCTACATCTATGTGAGGACTTAAACCGTCTCAGTATTATGTTCTATATGAATCCGCATACTGTGAGTAAGAAGGCAATCCTCCAATATGTGTTTTCACATCTTAAACTGTGTGAGTGTTGGTGTGAAAACTGTCAATTCTAACTGTCAGTCCTTTAATAAAAGTCCTCTATTCATCAATTTACAATGAGGCCGTGATTTAAGAAAGACCCTCAAAATGGTCACCCAGGACACTAGGACTCTGTTAGGCCGGGCTCACGCTGTACCATTTGAAATCTGATGTATAAGACGCACTTTTAATACCTCTGTTTTTTTTCATCTAAAAAGTTGGCTACATCCTATACACCAGTTAGAAATGCTGACACACACGCTGTCATGACCGCCGTAAGTGCAGCCACCACCTCCTTGAAATGTCGCCGCCATTCATTGTGTATCGGGAGCTCTGCTAGGATACATAGTGATGCAGACCAGGATGGAAGTGCCCCTTTTTTTTGACATCTTGTCTCCCTCATGAGGTCATAATCATGCATTTGATCATCCACTAATGGTCTAGTGTTCAATAAATTAACCCTCTGGAGCGCTGGTTTGATTGAAAACACTCAATTAAATCAACAAGGTCACCAGCAGAGTTGGGCAGCGAGATTTACAGGTCTCTACTTCACAACTTTCACCGTATGCTGAGAGCTAATTTACCGTCGCTGTAGCTAGGAGGAGTGCAAACTGCGCACAGTGAAGACAGATGGTGCTTACAGAGCGACACAGCTGCACAGAAACTACACGTTGTAGACTTTGATGAATGCAATTGAAATCATCACGCAGGAAGACAGTTAAAACCTTTTTTTCTCTCAGGGAGTCCTCCCCAAAACAACATGCTATCGAGCTGAAACTCAGTCCGACTTCAAAATCAGCCCTGGAACTAAAAAATGGTGTCAGAAACAGCCTACATGAGTATATTCCCGACCTTACAGTAATCCCAAAAAACAAATATGCAGGCTTGCCAGTCTGTTAGAAGAGGAGTCCTTTTTACAGCTCAGACTCTAACGTATCTCACACTAAATCACCATCAGAGAGACAATGCCTTCACATGCATTCATGCTTCCCTCTTCTTACAGTCTGATATTTAACCTGCAGGCTCAGCCATTCCTACTACACCTCACAACGTGTACTTTAACACTTTAAGTGGGATCAGAGTGTCACATGTGAAACTTTACTTGGAGACAATTTTTCATATTGAAGACACTCAAGTCAAAAAACACAAGTCGGATCCAAAAAATCAAAGAGTTGGAGTGTAATCAAAAAAAACTGAACTTGGTCATTTTGTATTTGAGGTAAAGTTTTCTGACAGTTGACATTTCAGAGATATTATTCCACTCTCCTCGCTCTCGTTGTCATTTACTGCCCTTCCTGCAGCAGCTCTGGCATCTGCTGTGTGTCGTCTTTTGTGTCTTTTCGTTACTGAACCCACACGACCGTAACGTCTCCTCCTCCTCTCTCTTCCTCCTGCAGGTCTCCCGCCTGCCGACTCCTCCTGACCCCGGATCCCAGCCAGCCGTCAAGAGGGGCTCAGCGCTCTCTGCTCAGGTTAGATTCAGAGGCTTTGTTAGCTGGAGAGGCTGCTGGAGTTTATTGTGGAGGTCTTGGAGGTGTGGAGGTGTCTGTCAGGAAGTTTCATATCAGCTGATGGCTGTGTCACCGTCACCTCAGGTTGCTGCTCTCTGTGGTGATGGGGATGATTTAGGGAGGAGGATTGTAGATGTTTAATACTGAAGTGTATTCTAAATTACAGTAGAGATGGGAAGCAGGGTAACAAATGCTAGCGTGCCTTCATCAGTCTGCAGTTTGATACAGAGGGGATGATGAGATCTACAGGCTCCTCGTTAACACACAACATGTACTGTATGTCTAACAGCTGGTATACACATCAGGCTTCACATCATGTATGCCAGCAACACTCAAGTCTTTTTTTATAAACTTATATGTCATCATCAAGGTTTTACAGAAATAAATGTGGTTTCAGCAGCGAATCCTTTATGATAGTGCTGAAATCAACAATGAACAACACAGGACTGAATTTAAGGTGACATATTCTCCTCCTCTTCAACCAGTGTAAATAAGTCTCAGAGCTCCCCACAACATGTGTGTGAAGTTTCTTATTCTAAATCCACTCTGATCCTGTATTTGATCATGTCTATAAACCCTCTATTTCAGCCCTGCTCAGAACAGGCTGTTTCTGTGTCTGTACCTTTAAATATGTAAATGAGCTGTGTCTGACCACGCCCCCTCTCTGGAAGGGCTTGGGTGGCTCGGGCTTTCTTGCTCCATGTCCTATTGTTTAAGGCGAGAAGGCAGACTCAGAGGGCAGAACAAACACCTAGCTGTGGGAGTGTCATCCACCTGGGGGAGGGGTTACTGCCCTTTGTGATGTCATGAAGGGAAAATCTCCAAACGGCCTGTTTGAGAACAGTTTCTGAAAATTGGAGCAGGCAAAAGACGGAGAGGATGGACTTTTCTCATCATTGGATGGTTTGTAGAGAGACTAGAGACACATATTAATGTTAGAGAAACATGATGAAGTGGATTTAGCATAATATGCTACCTTTAAGGGAACACAATCAGCAATTCTTAAAGACCCCATATTCTCCTCATGTTTACTTTTCATGTTATCAGTCAGTGAAACTTACGGACCAACTTTGCATGATTTAAAAACAGAAGGTAAGAAGAACATAATTAAAAACATGCAGGAAGTAATGTGTAGCATCGACATTAGCTCGGGTTAGACACTAAAAGCTAAACACGGGGTCATGTTTGGTGTACAAGAAAATGAATCTCAACTGAGCGTAACAGAAAGCAATCAGTCTCCTGCTGTGACGCTGTGTTTGAATCATATCGAAAGTCATCAGTTTACAGAGGAGAGTGATGAAAGGTCTCACCTGAATGAATGAAGTGGAAAATTAACATTGCAGTTAAACACAAAGCCACTGTTCATCTTTGAAAGGTGAGAAACGGGCCTTGTGCTACATTAAGGAGGTAGCATTGGCTAGCTACATGCTAACCTGAGCTGCTGCTGGAGCCTCTTTCAAACTCGTCCATCTCTCTCCTCAGGTTTCCAGGACAACCAAGGCTCCAAAATACACCTATGTCCGACTGGGCGACCTGAAGGCTGGACCTGCGGTCAACGTGTACGGAGTGGTGACCTTCTTCAAACAGCCCTATAAGTCCCGTGGCACAGGTCAGTTCATGTGTAGTAAAGTAACCTGCATGATGCTCGTTCTCCTCCTGTCACAGAAGTGCTTTGGGTCATTCTCATAATGTGGAGTCGGAAATGACATGTGGGAGAGAAGCCAAAGGTCGGATTTGAACCCGGGCTTCCAGCTTGGAGGAGTATAGCCTACATATGTGGGGCGCGCACACTAACCACTAGACTACTGACGCCCCCCCTAGGAGTAGTGTTTTACAAAAAAGTTGTCTTTTTTATCAAAATAGAGACATGTTTTCTGGGGGGAGAAAGCAAAATGAGAGCACTTATAGCTTAGCAGTTATGTTGCTCGCCCCATGTACAGAGGCTTTAGCCCTCGTCACAGCGTCTGTTGGTTCCAGTCTGACCTCGGCCCTGTGCTGCATGTCGTCTCCATCTCTCTCCTCCCAACGCTTCCTGTCTCTTCAGCTGTCCTATTCAATAAAGGTAAAAAGGCCCCAAAATATAACTTAAATTATTTTATGAATATTTCCTTCATTGAAGTTGGACTTTTCTTAAAACACGTCTACATTTTTCAGGATTAGTCAACAGGTCAAAAAGACAGTCAGGCCGCACTCACACTAGACAAAGTTGTCCATTCACGCTGCTCCAGGACTAACCGCCCTCAGCCATTGTTTTTAAAAGTTATTTTCTTCATCTTAAAATAACGCTCTAATATAATGAGAATTAAATGGTATTTGTGTCATTTTAGAAGAAGAATGAAATCGTTTTATTCTGATTAGTTTAATTTCCATTCTTAAATTCTAAACCTTAAAAGTTTGAGTGTGTAAAAGTACAGAATCTTGATCCTTCTCAGCTTAAGCGCGGTGCGGTTTCAAAAGCAGACTCCAGTCTTTTCAGAACCACGGACAGAGACTTTAAGCCGTTCAGCAGCTGTGTGTGTGAATGTGTTTGACATTTTTTTTTTTTTGGATATCTGTTTAAAAATGTAAGAAAGACAGATAGTTGTATTTAAACGGGATGAGCTCCTCTGACATTGAAACGAGCTGACGGGCAGAAAGGAAGAGAAAATCTTTCATGAGGAAATAAGAGGTGGATGAGTGCTGAGGTTCGTTTAGGTGTAAGAACGTCTCTGATTATCTCCGTAACACACTCGGAAAGGTGTGGAGACCAGCGGGATTGAAGGATGTAGTTCCACTTTGTGCGTTGATGGTGTAATAATGTAAGTCTGTGTGTGTGTGTGTGCGTGTGCGTGTGCGTGTGCGTGTGCGTGTGCGTGTGCGGGTTTCATCTTTTCTAGTCTTTTTATTTATTTTTTATTCAACCAGGAAATAATCTTTTTAAAAGCGTCCTGGCCGAGACAAGCAGCAGCACAAGCAAAAATATACATTATTAGACATTAAAAGAAAAAAAAAACACATTTCAACAGGACATATTTGTCAATATTGTCCACAAACACATCAGGGAGAACATCAACAGCCAAATGTGTCCGCCTCCAAGTCAATCAACATCCTCTTAAAATCATCCAATCAGAGCAGCCCGTTCAGTCTCAGCTCTTTTTATGATCCTTTACAAGTGAAGGAAGCAAAAAACTTAAGCACCTTTTCCCCCAGTTCAGCTCTGGGGAGTTCAATAAAAAAAGCGTCTCATGTCTTGTTGGCGTGTCTGGGGGTTGCTGGTTCAAGTCCTGAATCAGTCGATCTATCGGATTTGATCTGGTTGCTGCAGAGGTGCCAGTTTACTTCCTGTCTTCCCAGAGGTGCCTTTAAGCAAGGCACCGAAACCACAAACCCTCACTCTGACATCACTCCCTTGGTGCATGTCTATAGGATCATGTTTGTGTTTTTTTTTGTGTTTTTCAGTAGGAAAATAATAATTTTCCCTCAAGTAATTCTTCTTTTCAATCTTCATCACAGTCATTATTTGTCACACTTCTTTTAGGATTAATTTAGCTGCTGTCCTTTGTTGTTGTTGTTGTTGTTTCTGACCACTGGAAGTTTTCTTTCCTCAGATTTCTGCTCCATCCTGAAGATTACAGATCAGTCTAAAAAGGAGATCCTCTGCAAAGTCTTCTGCAAGAAGCTGGAGGATCATCCCAATATCTTCCAAATCGGAGACATCGTCCGCTTGCACGGAGTCAAGGTCTCGATTACTGACTGGCTGCTATCAGTATCCATTTCTTGTGCTTAAAATGACTTATTTCTTCATTTTTGGAACTTACAAAAACCTATAAACATGTTCTTAAACTCAGATGATGTTTGTTCCTCTGCACAGCCTCATTCCTACAGAAACTGCATCGAGCTGGTCAAGACGTTTGGCTTCTCTGCGTTGACGTTTGACGGGGTGGTCGGCAGACCCGTGGAGCCTCGGACCTCCAGCCGCTCCTTCCACTTCGACCAGGACGACCGGCGAGTGGTGGAGGAGCTGAGATCCTGGGCTTCAGGTCAGGGTTTCCTCCCTGCGGTGTCCACCATCACTCTGTCTGCTGTGGAGCCCAAACAGTACTTTGACCTGACCTGCCAGCTGCTGGCCAAAGCTCCCATCGACACCACCTGCATCCTGCTGAGGGTAAGACTGGTGGTACTGGAAGAGCAGAAACACTGCATGGTTTTTAAGGAATAACTTCAAATTTGTCACAGATGTCCACTTGGACTTGATTCCTTCGGAGGCAGTTTGATCACTAATCATGAATTCATAACTTGAGATCAGGCAGGCTCCGACTCGATCGGGAGATGTACAGAATTTATTGACACCCCACTTGGATGCCTAACCCCCAACACGACAAGCTGGACAGAATATAAGTCAGACAAGGAAACGCACAGAGCAGCCGGTCAATTTCAAAATAAACCACATTTTACAGATTTGCGATTGTATTTTTCATCACTTTATCCTCAAAAAGACGCTGACGTGCCGCGGTGCACATATGTGGGGATTGGTGGTAAGTTCTCCAGAGCGGGAAGCCCAGTTTCAAATCCAACCTGTGGCTTCTCTCTCTCTCTCTCTCTCAGTCTCTCTCTCTCTCTCTCACTCTCTCTCGCTCTCTCTCTCCTTTCTCACTCTCTCTCTCCTCTCTCTCTCTCAGTCTCTCTCTCAGTCTCTCTCTCCCTCTCTCTCAGTCTCTCTCTTTCTCTCCCTCTCAGTCTCTCTCTCTCTCTCTCCTCTCTCTCTCTTAGTCTCTTTCTTTCTCTCTCTCTCTCGCTCTCTCAGCCTTCAGGTCGCCCAGTCGGACATAGGTGTATTTTGGAGCCTTGGTTGTCCTGGAAACCTGAGGAGAGAGATGGACGAGAGAGATAACTGAGGAGCGCCTCGAGGGGATTCTTCAAACGTGTCCACTTGAACTGAAACATTTTTATTGCTCACAGATCAGAGTCACACTCATTTGACTCTTTTTTTAGTTCTCAGTGTTCGTGAAAGTAAAATCTCAGCGACCTTTGAATGGAGTTTTATCGCATCTTTTTTATTTGTACTCTTAAATCCGTCCGAGGGAGCGAGCCTGTTACCCCCCTGTGCCTCTTTGACCCTCTGTTGAAACACAGAGGTGTCTCCGGTGTTACGCAGCTCCTGTTAGTGATTGGACCTCTCCTCCTTAATGTAGCCCTTCCTATGCTGCTGTTTTCTTCTCTGGCTCATGTTTTCTTTCATGAAACAATCCTGTGGGGGCGAAATCAAAAATGTGCAACTCGACATGAGGCGTGCAACCACAGGCGGTTATTCTAGAGATCCATTCATTTATTCAGACTCGGGATTTAATTTCAATATATTCAACATCACAGAGTCATGCTTATAACCTGCAGACCTAAAGGGAGAAGTTAACCTCTGGTCTGAGATGTTTCCCTGTTAATAAAGAACTCTGCGTTCACACCGCAGCATCACAGTCTCTGTGAAGCTTCCCCTGAGGATGTCTACTGTCAGCTTACATCTATTTTTCCTCACCGCCGTCTTTTGTTTATTACCCATAGTCCCTTGTTTATTCCTCCTTAATGTGACTTGTAGTCTTGTTAGGGTGCGTATTTGTAATGACTCTGCTCGCTTTCAGTCAGGTGGCCTCAGTGGGAGGAGGTGTCATGTTTTTTTTTTTCTCTATCTCGGTCTCGAGCTGTTTTACCTGCCGCCTCAGTTTTCCAAACGGTATCGAGGCTTTAAGTGGAGCCTGGTCTGCTGCCAGGGAGGCTGATAGAGGAGATAAATGTGAGCGGGACTTGGCAGCGACTGCTGGTCGGCCGCCAGTCTCTCCTCTCACTGATTTCTAAAGCTGCTCTGAGCGTGTTGCCTGCTGTTACACACACACACACACACACACACACACACACACACACACACACACACACACACACACACACACACACACACACACACACACACACATCCAGGAGAGGATCGTTTCCACATCATAAACGCTTATTAGACCAAGAATAGATTTTAACACCTCTCCTTAAGCACTTGAGATCAACGTCAACAAAGGTTTGTGAAGCATTCTTCGCTGTCGACTGTGTGACTGTGAAGCTTAAAACCTGAATAAATCGAACTGCGAAGGCTTGTCTGAACTTCTTAAGATGAATATTATAGCTTTTTTTTTTTTTTTTCTTTCAGAGTTTTGTTTTACAGTCTTTGAGGTTGGATCAGGATATTCCCAAGCTCTAAGATAGCTTTCAGGGGCCTGTCAAGGTTTTTTTGAAATCAGTCATTTAGATGCTCTGTCCATACCTGCGGTGGCGTCTTTGTGTCTCTGCTTCTGACTGTGACAGCGGCATGCTGCACAGCTCCTGGTACAGTCTCTTGTGAACGCACTATCAAACCCCTGGAGATGATCCTAAATGCAGGAGCGTGACTGCTCTTCATCCTTCCTTAAACGGCACGTGGCACTCCGCTGTTCATCTGCCTCCACTGGCTCTCAGTTAATGCTCACATCAAATTTAAAACTCGCTTACAAAACAGCCACAGAAACGGCTCCTCCTTACCTAAACTCTACAATCCAGGTCTACTCTACCTCCCGCCCACTACGCTCTGCCAATGAAAAGCGTCTGATCCAATCTACACAACAGGGTCCTAAGACGCTAACTAGACTCTTCTCCTCTGTCGCCCCCCCGGTAGTGGAACGAGCTACCAAACTCCATTTGATCTGCAGAGTCCCTTTGCACCTTTTAGAAAAAGCTAAAGACCCAGCTCTTTATGAACACCTACGACCTTCATGATGATGATGATTTTAGGATGGTTTTGATGCTGATTAGAACTCTCAAGAACAGCCATCGATGTTGTGCTCTGGCTCTGGTGACTTCCTGTCAGCACCTGTGTGTCCCATCAGACTTAAAGCTGTTTGTTTGCTCTTCCTGATGTTGTTTCTTCCTCTCTAGATCCTTGCTTGTGTTGCACACTTACTCTCTGATGTTTGTAGCTTTGGATAAAAGCTACCTGCCACTAGCCTGGGCTGTACTCATTGACTGGCTGTAGCTGTGGTTAATGAGCCTGCTCTACTCACTTTACTACCCAGATGTAAACAAGCACAGTCAATGACAGCAATGACAGCAATGACAGCAATGACAGCAATGACAGCAATGACAGCAATGACAGCAATGACAGCGCGGTTTGGCAGCCGCAGGTGGAAAATGACTCTGTCCTGTGAGTAAGGAGTTCAGGCCGTTCAGAGTCTTGTCTTGTCATGTGTTTTTGGCGTGTGTTCAGGTGTGGGACGGGACCAGGTGTCCTTACAAGCTGCTGAAAGTGATCGTGGAGCCGGACGTCACAGAGGGGCCGTCCTCCTTCTCTGCAGAAAAAGAGAGCGTCATCGCTAACATCCTCATCTACGACAACCATGTGGAGTCCGCCAAGCAGCTGAAGGTCAGATCTAACTGCAGCACCGCACCTACATGCTAAAACTACACAGGTTTACTTTTCAGAGCATGAATACCTATCTATCCTGTCTTAGCATTTACTCCACCTTCTGTTCAGCTGAACAAACCAGTCTGTGTCCGCCTCGCTCCTCAAGTTCACCTCAGGTCAAATGTTAAACAATGATCACTGTGAATATTTTACCGGGACACAATCAGAGGTCTCACTCTGCTCATTTCCATCTCGCTCATTCAACACAGCGGTGGAGATCTGACACTCGTTACACCTGTGTGTTTTTTACTAAATATGAATTTGAACCTAAGAACCTGATATTAGTCCACATTGAGCATTTTGTGGTTAACATGAAGCTTAACCTGTTTGACTTCTTCTGTTTTTACTTCCTCCCTTACCTCGGTTTATAGAGGAGATCTTTGTATTTTTCAACCTGAGCATTATTTGACATATTTTAGGGTTTAAATGAGGCGTTAAAAGATTTGGAATTCTTCAGCTGGCAGCAAGCGGGAGAGTAAAAGGCAGCAAAATAATCTTTTGCTTAAATTTGCCTTTCTTTTCTCATGGACAGGCTCAGATTTTACTTGAAGCGTCCGACAATTTAATGGAAAAAAAAAAAACACTTTAGAAATACGATTAGAGAGGGAGGTGATGGCCTAGCGGTTAGGTCGCACCCAAGATACTATAGTCCTTCAAGTCCAGGTTCAAGTCCGTCCTGAGGCTCCTTTACCACATGTCTTTCCCTACTCTCTCTCTCTCCCTGATCTCTTTCCATTGTCCAATCTCTAAATAAGGACATGAATAAAGCCCAAGAAAGAAGATAAGAAGCAGGGGGGGGGGACTAGCTGTTAGGTCATACAGAGGCAATAGTCCTCCAATTGAGCTCCCCGGGTTCAAGTCCGACCTGCAGCTCTTTTCCTGTATATCATCCCCAACTCTCTCTCTCTCTCTCTCTCTCTCTCTCTCTCTCTCTCTCTCTCCTGATTTCCTGCTCTATCCTCTCCTTAATTGACTAAAAGCAAAAAGCCCCAAAATATATATTTAAAATGTATAAATAATAATATAAGATATTCCTTTATTGATTCACAGAATGGAAATTCAGGCGTTTCAGCAACCCAAACACAGGAATAACAAGAAGTCAAATAAAAATTAGAGTAAGAATAAATATGACAAATAAAATAAATCAGGTGGTATATAAAACTGTTAAACAAAGGAATAAAGGGGACTAGGCTAGACAAGTCAAAGACCTTATTGTAAAGGTTTCACTTTCCTTTCAAACCAGAAACGTCTCTGATGTAGCCGTCTGCAAAGCCCCCCAAAGCTCCATGAACACAAAACAGTCATTTGAACCTGTGCAGTCACTGGTCTAACACTGCCTAAGAGAGGTGTTGTTTTTCTTAGTGTGCAGAACAACAAATGAATTGTAGAGGAAACACTGATTTGGTAATTTGTGTGTGTGTGTGTGTGTGTGTGTGTGTGTGTGTGTGTGTGTGTGTGTGTGTGTGTGTGTGTGTGTGTGTGTGTGTGTGTGTGTGTGTGTGTGTGTGTGTGTGTGTGTGTGTGTGTGTGTGTGTGTGTGTGTGTGTGTGTGTGTGTGTGTGTGTGTGTGTGTGTGTGTGTGTGTGTGTGTCAGGGCAGCACATCCATCTTGATTCAGGTCTCTGAGACATAAATTACATCGTGTCGGTCGCAGAGTCACATTGAATTACAAGTCAAACCACAAACACACTCACTCACACAGCTGTCGCTCCTGTTTCTGTAAGTAACAAATCTCCGCCGAGCACGTTGAACCCTGAATGCATCGTTTCAGGACAATTCACAGCATGATAGCAGAGCGTAAAGCCTTTCTTCACCTGCTTACCCGCCCGTCACGTCTAACAGATGTATTTAACGTCCACTCACACATGAAGGGGTGTAATCTGAAGACGTCAACTTTTCTATAAACCTTTGATTTTCTTCAAGCTACAGGTTCCACTTTTCTCCTGCTCCTTCACCTGCTGAAATGGCAGACATGAATTTTAACCTGGTACTCTGTTTTACTTTATTTTACTGCAATCATACAGCAATCACAATCCGGCTCTTTGTAGGTGTCGCTCAGATCCTTAAGAACTCTTTCAACCCCATCTTCATCTTTATGCTCCTGGAGGAGGAATTTCTCTTGTACACCAATAAGGACAAACAGCGTTTTTCCCCAAACGCTCTTAGAAATAAATGTTTTCTTAAAACCACCTTCTTTTTTTCAGACTTAATTTCGACTGCAGCGTTTAAATGGTTAACGTTTGTCCCGAGTATGTTTTAAGACTTTTTAAAGATACAATATGTATATTCCACCACCAGGGGGCTGTCAATCAATCCTACAAAAACAAAAGACGACGTCGAGGCTAGCGGGGAATCATGGGAGTTCTCTCTGCTGCTACACCCCCAACCCTGTGAAAACAAACTGCATTGACCTTAGTCAAGACAAACGGGTGAAACCAACCTGAGGAAGAGAATATGTTTACAGACGAGTTAATGTAACCGAGTATGGCAGCTTTCAGCAGCAGCTCACGCTTCTTAATGCAGCGGTCTTTGACGTAACATCCGGTGTTACCACGGCAACAATAAACATTCTGTCTGTCATGGCGCCGTCTCGACAAGACATGTCCCGTTACAACAGTGAAATTAGGGATTTCTCTGGCTTTGATAACTGTTGGGAATGTTTGAGGTAATGTAAGTACCCAACAAAAAAAACATCAACATATCTTAATACTTGACTTAATTACATCGACCTTGATGAAATCACAACAAGGAATACAATCCTTACAAAGCTGAGAGAGTCTTCACAGAGCATTCAGACTGCTCAACAGAAACCACAAACTACGACATCCTGAAGTCGTCTCTGTGACTACTTGGGGAAAAGAGAAATAATTATTAGAATAAATCTCTTCAATTTTTCACTTGTTCAAATAACCGTCTTCATAACGACCCCATCCACTTTCTTTAAATAACAGACTATTGTTTCCAACAGCTCAGTTTTTATCTGATTCTCTTCGTCCTCTTCGTCTGTAAACAAGAGTAATAAGTACAGAGTGGCCCGTCTGGTGGCTAAAGTGACCGTGGAGAGCCGGCAGGGAAAACTGTAGGAGCTCATTTGTCCTTTTCACTTTTTCTGTACAAGGACGTTCCCCCCTGTAATATTCACAAATACCTCTGAAATAACAGGAGGAATCGCTGATTATAGTCGTCGCCTGACCTCCTGCTGCAGAGCTTATTCCACATCGCTACGCTCTCCCCTCAGCAAACACTCTGAGGAGTTTGCAGTGACCTCTGGGTAGTTTAGTTTCAGAGCCTTTCTGCTCTGTGCCACAGCTCCGCAGCCACACTTTCATAGAGATTTATCTGCTCAGTTAACTTGAAGAGAAACTATTCTTCTGATTGCAACTTTCAAACAAGTGAAACTTTATAGCCTTGAAGATTGGGATGGTCAAGTGAGAGAGGTGTTGGCGTCAGTCGTGCTCTCAGTCATGTTTAGAGATGTTTCTCTTTTTATAAAAAATATCTTGTTTAGTGTTGATCTGGATAATTCTTCACCTCCAGTTTTCCTTCCAGCCTCCTAGTAAAACATCCTGAGAAGTTGGGATGAGCTGATGTTTGAACGCAGCAGGAAAGATTCAGGGAAATATGCTGTTTCCAAGTGAGATGTGGAGATTATGTTTTAGTCATGTGACTGGTGAGAAACTAATGTGATCGTCGTGCATATAATGAAGCTGCTTCATACTCTTTCCTGTTTGTTTGTTCTTTTCTCCCTTATACTGTACATACATCCAATTCCTTGTAGCATTGAATGAATGCAAAACTGTCATCATGGCGTCGGACAGCCTCTTTCCGCCAGCTGGATATGTTGTAAAAATAAGTCTGACTGGGCGCTGGTGGTGCATGGTTAGAGCACGCGCCCCTTGTATGGAGGCTGTGGTCATCCAAATTCATACCCGCATGTCATTTCCCACTCTCTCTCTCCCTGATTTCCATCTCTATCCACTGTCTATCTCTCCATTATAGGCAAAAAAGCCCCCAAAAAATCTTAAAATAATAAAGTCTGACTGAAAATGGACTTTTAGAATTCATGTTAACATGTCTGTCTGACTCAGTTCATACTTAGTCAAATTCCTCAAAGTTGGATCACCACAGGTAGTTTACTCTTCAATGTTGACGCCCCAATAGCTCAAAACTAGCCTAGGGCCTTGACTCAGCAGAGGGAACTCCCATGATTCCCCGCCAGTGTCAACATCATCTATTGTTATTGTTTCGATTGAGAGCCCCCTGGTGGTGGATTTTACACACTGTGTGTTCAAATAAAACCATAGCTACGTCTTGGTATGTACAAATTGAAAATATCTTTAGTGAAGCATTAACATTTTCAATGAATCTTTAAAGTCCAGCCTTAGTTTAGTCTCATCCCTGTGTATGTGTACTTAAATAAAAAAAGAGCTTTGGTTATTTCTTTCTTTTTGTAACAGGCGACTTTCATGTGTTGAATGAATTCTGAGCAGACAGCGGGAGCTTCCTCTTCCTGTGGAGGATTCATCAGTGAGTTCACGCCTGATGTTCTTTAATGTTCGCTTTATTTAACAATCGTCTGTTTAACTGAAGTTAATTTCCTCTTAGTCATTTTTGTATTAATTAGCGGTGTATGCAGTGATCCTCTGTCGGCTCTTCTACAGTCCCTCGGTCTGTTTTTGAGTTTAAACATGTCGCCGCTCTGTCCTGGTGACGCACATCTGCACTCGACCCTGCAGGCGTGATAGAACTCATCACAATCAAACTGCACAGGTTCATTACACAGAATATCTAAATGCAGTAAACACACTTCATCACCACATTATTAAAGTTTAAACAACAGGCGCTGTAATGACTTTGAATTAAATCATCTTCTTTCGTTTATATAAGAGCGCTTCCAGGGACAGGTGAGGCGAATTATCATCCCCCATAAACACGAGGATCCGTGCGTCCTGTGGCTG